CCTCCCTCCCTCAACTGAAGGAGAGAGCGGGTCACCCTGAAGAGGGTGGCCGGGCGATTATCTGATGACGCAATGAGGGTGGAGTAGTAGTTTGACCTCGCCACCCTCATCGCCACTAGGTAGGATCTAACCTGTATCCTTGCCTGTGTTCGGTCAGATTCGGTTCGGCTCGCCCTCCAACTGCTCTCCAGGCGTCTTTAACAGAGTTTTTAACTATTAGGATAGAAGGAAACAACGGTTTGCAGAAGGGAAAATTGGGAGACATGGGCCACGCTCATTTCTCCCATGACTTACTGTCCGTCTGGAGAGCAGAAGTTAACATTTCTCGGCATTTGCTCCGGACTGTGTCGCACGTGATGGGCATGGGGGGGAAAGTTGTGATTTTGGGCGTGGTGGGACTTTTTACGGACTCCTGCCTTTTGAGCGAGCTGAAAGAGAAAAAACAAACCTGTCAGAATTTCGAGGTATCATTCTGCATTTCTAGACGTTTTGAAAGCCTCTCTCCTATTTGACCGGGAATATTATTTATTCTTTCCGAGTCTTTGTATAGATTTTATTAGTTTTTATGGGGTTAGGAATAAGGTGGGGTCGGAGTTGGGGTTGGGATTTAGGTTAGGGTTAGGATTAAGGTTAGGGTTGGGGTTTTTCCAAATAACATCTTATATATATAAATAAAAATGTAAATGTTCGTTTGTTCAAAATCTTAAAATCTCCGAAAGTTCTTCACCGATTGCTTTGAAATTTTCACACAACGTTGCATTCGAATACGCGCGTGTTTTTATATATCTATATTATATAGATGTCACACCTGTGACAGGTAAAAACGTGCTTTTTTTGAAAAACAGCGCCATCTGTTGGACGTAAAAGCAACACACGCTTTTACCAGACTGAGCCACAGCAATGCGTGGCTGGGTACAGCTATTCTCAATATTTAGCAAACAGCATAATGTCTGGGTTTGTGTGTTTAACAAGCAATAATAGGTAATAGTTAATTATCATAAACAATATGTTAATTAATCACTCTATAGCCTTCTTCTTGCTAATATATATATTCAAAATTATACATCACATACCTTTCTCTCTAATTCGTCTTTCTAGCCATTGATAGAAATTATCCCATGTTTTAAAATACGCTTAGTCTTCTTTCTCTTTTATCTTTAAAGTCAATCTGTCCATTTCTGCACACTCTAGAATTTTCTTAATTAGGACTTCTTCAGCTGGGAAGTTTTAATTTTTTCCAATGTTGGGCAAATACAATTCTTGCTGCCGTTAGCAGGTGTAGTATTAAGTGTCAGCAATCTTTGTCATAATAAGCTCCTATTATTCCTAACAAAATTAATTCTGGTTTCAAGTCTATTTGTTTTTTAGTCTTCCGAGCCTTTGGAAGATAAAAATTAATTTCCTTATCTTTCTTATCCTGTTCTCCAGATGAGTGGTTCACAGGTATTCCTTCGACTTACCACAGTTCATTTAGTGACTGTTCAAAGTTACAACGGCACTGAAAAAAGGGACTTGCGACCGTTTTTTTCACTGCAGTGATTCACTTAACAACTGTGGCAAGAGAGGTCGTAAAACGGGGCAAAACTCACTTGACACGTGTCTCACTTCACAACAGAAATTTGGGGCTCAATTGTGGTCGTAAGTCGAGGACTACCTGTACATATTATGCTCACTAAAAGATATTAGGTGTATTCAAGAAGAGTTTTGGAAATGCAACTGACAAGACAGTGAAAGTGTAATCAGGAGCACACTAAGGATTTAAATCAGGGTCTTCAAACTTGGCCCTTTTATGACTTGTGGACTTCAACTCCCAGAATTCCTCAGCCAGGCACACGTGTGCCTGGCTACGGAATTCTGGGAATTGAAGTCCACAAGTCATAAAAGGGCCAAGTTTGAAGACCCCTGGTTTAGAAAATTAAGCATGGTGACCTCCATTTTTATTTTTTTTTTACAAATTGGCAAAAACAGAGGAACTAAAATCTTAAAGAGTTAAAAAAAATACCCTTTATAGCTACAATCCTTTCTCCTTCTTAAGCTTGTAATAGTAATGCCTTTTTTGCTGTTGTATGTGCTTGGCCCTGATTTGAAGCACTCCCATTGTAAAATTTACTCAGCAGCTTCCTTATCATCAAAATTCTTGGCTTAAAGGCTGACTTTCACTCAGATTAGGAACATCCATTTTTTCCTGATTCAAAAAATCCAGCTAAGACAGCACCCTGTTCCCACTATGGTCAATGCCATAAAGTAGTCCTCAACCTACGACCACAACGGGGCCCAAAATTTCCATTGCTAAGGGAGACAGTTGTTAAGTGAGTTTTGCCCCATTTTGCGACCTTTCGTGACGCAGTTCTTAAGTGAATCAGTGCGGTTGTAACAAGGTTGTTAAGTGAATCTGGCTTTCCCCATTGGCTTTTCTTGTCGGAAGGTCGCAAAAGGGGATCACATGACCCCGGGACACTGCAACGGTCATAAATATGAGTCAGTTGCCAAGTCTCTGAATGTGAGGGGAACATCTGGGGCAGGGGTAGGCAACCTTGGCTCTTTTATGACTCGTGGACTTCAACTCCCAGAATTCCTGAGCCAGCATGGCTCTGCTTGGAAACCTCTCCCTTTCCCCTCAGCATGGCTGGCTCAGGAATTCTGGGAGTTGAAGGCCACGAGTCATAAAAGAGCCAAGGTTGCCTACCCCTGGTTTTGGCTATGGATTGTAGTCCCTTTAAGGTTTAATGTTTTATCTTCCTGCATGGTTCAATTAACCTGATGATTTTGGGCTGCCTTTTTGTTGTTCTGCAGTAGAGTGATGCTAAAACGGTTCCAAATACATGCATGCATGTAAGAACAGATGTGTCAAACTCAAGGCCCACGGGCCAGCTAGTTTTCAGGCCTAAGCGGCACAGTATCCTGGTGATTCACCCAATGCCACTCAATTGGATTTGATGTCTCAGGTAATTATAGAATTCAGAGTCTCCAGGTAATTGGCACAATCACCCAGTTGGCTTTCATGCCTAAGGCAGGACTTGAACTCACATTTCATGCTTTCTAGCCTGGTGTCTTAACCACTAGGCCAGAGGTAGGCAACCTTGGCTCTTTTATGACTTATGGACTTCAACTCCCAGAATTCCTGAGCCAGCCATGTTGAGGGGAAAGGGAGGTTTCCAAGCTGAGCCATGCTGGCTCAGGAATTCTGGGAGTTGAAGTCCAGGAGTCATAAAAGAGCCAAGGTTGCCTACCCCTGCCCAAATGCCTGAATTTTGATCACGTGACCATGAGGAAAAAATATTTAAATATTTAAACCAGGGGTCTTCAAACGTGGCTCTTTTGTGACTCGTGGACTTCAACTCCCAGAATTCCTGAGCCAGCATGGCTCAGCTTGGAAACCTCTCCCTTTTCCCTCAGTATGGCTGGCTCAGGAATTCTGGGAGTTGAAGTCCACGAGTCACTAAAGAGCCAAGGTTGCCTCCCCCTGCCCATGGGGATGCTGCAATGGTCATAACTGTGAAAAACGCTCCTGTCACTTTTTTCAGTGTAGTTGTAACTTCGAATAGTCACTAAATGAATGGTTTTAAGTCGAGGATTACCTGTATTTCTGGGAAACCTTTAAGCAGGAGAAGAAGGCTATTGCTCCTGTAAAGGTGGCCTTAGCCTGGAAATCAAGCAAACCAACAGATCCTCTCCATAAAACATTTCTTTAATCCTACGTTTTTCGTCAAGGAGCCATTTTTATGATAAGACATTCCTCAGGTAACACTCCGCGTAAAGAGCTGGTTTCCTTTATCTGGCGTGAGCAACCTTAGACCTAAACTTTAATTCGCAAAGATGTTTTAGAAGGACCAGCAAAAAAATAAGCAGAATTGTGGATCACGCACTGAGGAAATGCGACACAATTATTCAGATTGACTCTACGCAACGTCATTGGATCAATGATTAACCTAATATTCTAGACTGTATGTGCAGACTGCTTTGTTCTGAAAAATATTATGAAAAACAAGGAGGGAAGGAAGAATAGCCAACGATACAATGGCATTAGGGCCCAGGTTCTTTTTCTACGAAACTAAAATGATCCATCAAAGATAATAAAGGGAACGTTTGGACTCCGGTAAACTTCACGATGTGTTTGTGAGCACGAGATCACAACTCCTGTTCATTTCAAATTGTCAGATTATTCAGAAAAGAGATCATAAGGCATGTAGTTTAATAGAATAGTTTAATAAAGCATGTAGTTTAATAGAATAAACTTTCTATAACAGGGGTCTTCGAACTTGGCAACTTTAAGACTTGTGGACTTCAACTCCCAGAATTCCTCAGCCAGTCCTCAGGGCTGGTGAAGAGTTCTGGGAGTTGAAGTCCACAAGTCTTAAAGTTGCCAAGTTTGAAGACCCTTGTTCTGTAACATCGACGCTGGTTGTTCTCGACTTATAACCACAACTGAAACCAGAATTTCCATTGCTAAGCAAGGCAGTTGTTCACACATCCAATCTCCCAACGTGTTTTGCCATGATGGTTAAACGAAACCCTGAGGTTATTATATGAATCATGCGGTTGTTAAAGAAATCCAGATTCTTCCACTGACTTTGCGTGTCAAAAGCCAGCTGGGAAAGTCACCAATGGTGACCACATGACCTGGGGACACTGCAACTGCTGTACATACATGCCAGTTGCCAAGTGACCAAATTTTGATCATGTGACTATGGTCACGCTGTGACAGTCGTAAGGGCGAGGACTGGTTATAAGTTGCTTTTTAGTGCCGTTGTAACTTTAAACCGTCGCTAAATAAATAGTTGTAAGTTCAGGACTGCCTGTATATCCAAGATATATCCAAGTCCAACCCCCTGAGTACAAGGTTGGTCTAGATGACCTCCAAGATCCCTTCCAACTTTATTATTATTATTTTACTTCTATCCAGGTTGAAAGTGGTCCTTCCAATTACTCTGTGAAGTAGGTCAATTTGAGGGGCTCCAGATGCTGGGATGAAGTAAAGACAAGAATAGAAAAAGCCCAAACAGCATTCTTCAAAATGAAAAAGGTCTTCTGCCTAAAACTGAAAATCAGGCTTGTCAGATGCTACATTTTTTCTATCCTGCTCTATGGAGTAGAGAGTTGGTCTCTGACAGAAGGCCACCTGAAGAGACTAGAAGCATTTGAAATGTGGATTTACAGGCGGCTGTTACGTATAAGCTGGGTTGATAAGATCAGAAATGAGGAAGTGATAAGCCCCCTGGGAAAGCCAAGGGAAATCATCAAAACAATTAAAAAAACAAAAATTAGAATATTTCGGACACGTGATGCGACACCCAGAAAAATACGACATACTCCATTTCATCCTCCAGAGAAAGATTGAAGGCAAGTGAGGTCCAGGCAGAAGAAGAACATCATGGCTTCAAAATCTAAGGGACTGGTTTGGACAAAACTCAGCAGCACTTTTTCATGC